ACTTTACAATTACCCTAAATGTTAATAATCTTAATTCTCTAATCAAAAGAAACAGACTGGCAGATTGGATGAAAAAATTAATTATACATTCCCTTTAAGATTCATATATAACACACACACACACACACACACACACACACACACACACACACACTGATTACAAGTGAAACAATGAAAAATGCAACAGGAGCCCAAAGCAAGCAGAAATACCTATCTTACTTTCAGACACAGCTGGATTTAAGCCAAAACTGAACAGAAAGGAAAAAGTTTGCTGCTACATATTGGTGAAGGGAACAGTTCAACAGAAAGAAATGACAACTGTAAATAAACATACATTTACATACACATAATCTATATGTATATTACATACTTCCTAAAATGAAAACTGGCTATAAAATGCAAGATAGGCACTAATAAAACCACAGTAATGGACTTCAATATCCATTCTCACAAATAGACAGGTAAAGCAGATAAAAAATATCAGTTAAACTGATACAGGAGGTAAGGGTGGTAAAGTTTTCTGAGAAAAATAAGTAGGACCTGTCAATAACAAAATCCTAGGACAGCATAAAATAATTCCCAAGATCCCATATGTGGAACTTCTCTTGGGCACCCACAAGATGTGAATGGCATGGCATATATATATATAAAAAAAGAAGACACCAAGAGGAGCTTGCTACTGTGTCTCCTCACCATGGCCTACTTTGTGTCTCCTACATAGAGAGCAGTTTTATTTTTGCTTTTTTTCCTTTCCTCTGTTTTCTAGGTGGATGTCTGCTCTACAGAGATAGTTCTTCCCCTTTCCTCTCACCTCTCACTTTTCAAAATTCTTTTTTTTTTTTTTTTTTTTCTGGTACTGGGGCTTGAACTCAGGACCCTGTACTTGCCAGGCAGGAACTTATTCTGCTGAGCTATCTCCCCGGCCCCAACCTCTCACTTTTCAAATAAACATTTGATACCATTTTTGGCTTGGCTTGTCCAATTCTTTGTTCAAGGCAAGAAGAACCTGGAATATGTCAACTATCTGAAAGGATTTTGGCCTTCCCAGCCAGGTGATAACAAGACTACAATATTGAACAAATGGAATTATCTGATATCTACACAGTTTTACATCCAAATAACAGAATATATATTTTTTTCTAAGCAGGACAGAGAGGTGCTTTTTTTCTCAAAAAAGACTACCTTAAAGTCAAAAAAGCATATTTCAACAAATACAAAAATTGAAATTCTCACATATTGTCATTATACTATCAGATTATTGCAGAATGCAACTAGAATCAACAGCAACAGAAATCACAAGTATATATCAAATAATACATTTTTCAATAATCAATTGTAGAATACCACCTGAGCAGCTCCTTGGAAAGAAGAGCAATTGTCTCCATTTTGGCTGAGCCTGACCCTATCTCCTTGTATTGATATGTAAAGAGATAGCTAGGACTTTTCTTATCTTTTCATTGCTTTAAGCAATATGTAATGGTCTAGCCGAGGTCCTGTTGGTAGTCTTTGAAGATGACATGTGTGTTTCCTTGATAACCTACACCTGCTGCTCTTTAATATGAGCTAGGTCAAGACAAGATGAAGAGCCAGTGCTCCACACTGGTGGCTGGGATCAAGCCTCAAGATAAGAAGCTATGACTTCCTAGGGCTTGAAAGATTACACATCAGAGCTGAAGCACTGAACCCTAAAACATTAGATACTATCTCAATAGTATAATGCAGATTATTTTTCTGCATATCCTTCTCTCTGCATATGACAGAGGTAAATGCAGCCCTCCTACCTAGCCCAGCTCACAGTACTCACCTACTTTCTGCTTTTCAGTCATTCATCTTCAAGCCACTCCTCCTTCATGACTGAATATATCCTGGATGCATCCCTGGGTCAAGACCTCTGTTCTGGATACATCACAATGGCTGGACTTATGACCCCTTGCCTCTCTATAGTATAAATATGCCTTAGGATCTTTATTCTCACCATGGGTTCCACTGGAAGTGGTATATTGGAATTAACTTGATTGGATTCCAATAATTTATCATGGTATTACAAATATAAATTTCCCAGACCAAGACAAGAACCAGAAGGGCTCTGTATAATCAATGAGTCATAGAAAGAATCAGAGAAGAAATGAAAATTTCCCACAATGAAAGGACAATGGAAGTATAGTGATACCTTGCTTATGAAACAGCTCCAAGCTAAAAATTTCCATTACTCAAACAGTAAAGTTTGAAAAGAAATTTGCTAAATAGTCCAATCAGAAATTTGACTTGAAAAAGCTGGAACAGGCCAAGAGCAAGTAACACATGTGGTCTCACTATGGATACAAATGTGCAATGCTTCAGTCTAAACACTCCTCTCACCCAGAAAATACAGCGTGCTTTGTGTTCTATTGTGTTTTTTCTTGAGGTTTATTTGCGTAAAATATCATAACCATAGCTCCAAAGATAGTTAGTGATACCAACAGAAAAGCAAAGATGACAAGTGTGAGAACTATGATACAGCTAGAGAAAGAAATCATTGCAAAATGTGTCAAATCCTGGAGAAGTGAATTTATAAGTATAATTTCTGGGCCTTAGAAACAACTATTTGGTTTTACATTATTTCTTATGGGATAAACATGTTCAGTTCTCTAACTTTTTATTTTTCAAATACAATTTTAAACAAATTGAGTTGGACAATTGAGGTATCACTGTATAACATCCACAAAAAAAAAAAAAAAAATCTACCCTGGCCCCTGAGGCACACTGAGATGGCAATTGAAACTGGGCATGGTGGTATGCACCTGTAATCTGAGCTCTTGAGAGGTTGTAAACAGGCGGCTCACTATGAGTCAGATCTATTAGTGAGACCCTGAACATCCTGTAGAGCCTTCCCAAAAATAAAAAAAAATTTAAAAATCCAAAAAATCTGAGTCACAATGAAAGGAATTGTAAGAAGGAAGTATACTGCTGTGAATGGAAATAGTAAAAGGACAGAGCAAGCCCATAAGAACTAACCTAATGGTGCTTCTCAAGGTCCTAGAGGAAAGGAGCAATGACAATCCAAAAGTACTATAAGGAAAGATATTATGAAGATTAGAGTGAAAATTAATGGAGTTGACAGAAAAAAGAATGCATGAAGCAAAAAATGGTTTTTTGAAAGCATAATCAAGATTGATAAACCTTTACAAAAAGAATGAAAATTTCCATGTTAATAAAGTTAGAAAAAGCAAAATGGACATTTCCAAAACTGAGAAGATTATAAAAACTATTTAAAAAACCCATGTATTCCAATATCTTGGGACATCATGTGCCACTGTGCCTTGGAGCCAGCTGAGTATAGACTGAAACCTCCAGTAACTGTGAGCTAAATAAACCTTTTCTTCCTTCATTTTGGGTGTCAAGTATTTGTCCCAGCAACAAGAGAAGGGTAACTAAGACAATATGAATCATCAAAACTGAACCAAGATGATACATATATTCTGAATCAAGAAGAGACAATGAAATACGGGCAGTAATAAAAATTTTACCAACTAAGAAAATCTCATCTTGAGATGAGAACAGGCATTAAACCCATGGATTCACCACAAGTTTTTAGCAGAATACCAGGGCAAATCTAAGGCCAACACTTCTTAAACACTTCAATGAAAATTAAAGGGAATAAGTACTGACAAATGAATTCTTGCAAGCTAGCATTACCCTATTGCCAAAACCAGACAAAGACAACTTGAAACTACAGGCCAGTCTTCTTATTGAGCATAGATACAAAAATTTTCATCAAGATACCTGTAAACAAAATGCATCAAATTAAAAAGACAATCCTTTATAATCAAGTTATCTTCATTCCAGCAATCTCAGGATGATTCAACATATGTAAATCAGCAAATGTAATAGATCATACAAACAGAAGTGAGCCAAAATTCACATGCTCATCTCAACAGATGTAGACAAAGCCTTTTACAAAAATCCAACATCCATTCATAATAGACACTTCGATGAAGATAAATATATAAGAAACTTACATCAACTTGATAAAAAAAACTTTTATGACAGACCCACTGGTCATATGTTAAAATGGGGAAAACCTGAAATTTCCTCTAAAAATCAGTAACAAAGGTGTCTGCTCTCACCACTCTTGTTCAATATAGTACTGAAAATTTTATCCAGCAAAGTCAGACAACAGAAAGGTATAAAATGAATTCAAGTAGGAAAGAGAGATACAAAACTATCATTTGTAAATGACATGATGCTTTCAGAAAAGACCTCAAAAAACTTAGTTAATAAACAAGATCAGAATTAACAAATGGGCTCAACAAGGTGCAACATACAAAAATCAACAAACAAAAATCAATAATATTTTTGTATACCAACAATGAACCAGGTGGGAAACAAATTAAAATTCAGAGTAGCTTAAAAAGAAAGTTAAACACCTAGGAATTGACCTAATCAAGGAACTTCAAGACCTCTATAATGAAAACCATACCATTATAAGAAAAGAGATTAAGGAGGACATTAGGAAACTGAACGATAAAGCCAGGCATGATGGTGCACACCTGTAATCCTAGCACTCAGAAGGCTGAAGCCTGAGCATCAATGTGAGTTTGGGGCCAGCCTAGGCTACAAAGTGAGCTGAAGTTCAGCCTGAGCTGCATAGAGAGACCTTGTATGAAAAACAAAAAGACAAAAAAAAAAAAAAAGGAAAGATAATCTCTTTTCCTGGATAGGCAGGATCAATATTTTCTTTTTCTTTTTTAAAGAGAGCACAAATTATAATTAAAACAAAAAAATACAAGTGATAAAGAATTTCACTCAACAAAGTAGTATGAATTTCACAGTATTTGTTGTAAAATATAGTGTTGTCTTCCAACCAGTTATCCAAATCACCAGATATATGCATGTAAAATTGGAAGAAAAACCAAAAAAAGAAAGAAATGTATAAGAAATTAAGAAGACAAAAAGTACAAACAATTGAGAAAAGGAGATGAAACAAATTAAAGCATTAACTGCTTCTTTCCATTGGCCAGCAGAAATGCACAGTACAGTTGCCCAAACCATCGTGCTTATGTATAGATAAATCTCTTTCCCCCCACTCCTTCTCCTGTCCTCCTCAACTCAGTAGCACTTTCCTTTTGAGTAAGTTCATTCCCTTTTCCAAGGCAGAATGATATTATCAAAATGGCCACATTACCAACATTAAAACACATGATACTGTACAATTCCACTCAAAACATACAGCACTCTTCACAGAGCTAGGAAGCACTTCTGAGATTTATAGGGATCCAAAAGAGATTACATAATAATATCAATCCCAAATAACAAAGTGGGATATGTTATCCATTTATGTTACAGTCATAATTATAAAATTATATTACAAAGGTATAATAACAATAACAGGGTACTCAGATAAAAAGTATGTGGACCAGTGGAACAGAATTGAGATAGCAAAAATGACCTCACTCACCTTCAGCCTTCTGATTTTGGACCAAGAGGCCAAGAGCACATGCTGAAGGAAAGATAGCCTCTTTCTCAGGTAGTGCTGAGAATACCGGTTATTTACTTGCAGAAAGATGAATTTACACCCATATTTCTCATCTTATACTAAAATTAAATCAAATTGGATCAAAGACCTAAATATAAATATAAAAACACTGACTCTCTAGAAGATAAAATTGCTAAGACCCTTCAAGACATAGGCACAAGCAATGACTTGCCGAACAGAATCTTAATTGCACAAATTAATGCCAAGAATTGGCAAATGGAATTCTATGAAATTGTAAAGCTCTTCCATAGCAAAGAAAACAACTAATGGAGTGAAAAGACAACTTACAAGTGGGAAATCTATATTCTTAAAAATTTGTATAACAATTTATACCTTTTCTTTCTTTAATAAGTAGAGTAATATTCAGGTAATACATTTCTTCTAGTGTGAACTTTGCAAATTTATGTGTTTCAAGAAATTCGTTCACTTTATCTAAGCCCTTCGATGTTGAAGAACATAATTTGTATTTTCCTCATTCAGTTTAACAACCTTATTGTCTTTTTCAAAGAATCATCTGTTGCTTCATCAGTTTTCTATATTCTTATTCTCATATAGGTTCTTATATTTCCAGCTTAAATTTTTGATGCTTAAATAAGTATTTAATGTTATAAAATTTTGCCAAATGACTGCTTTCAGCATATCACATAAATTGTAGGATAGTGTATTTTTATAACTATTTAATTTAAAATATTTAAACATTTCCTTTCTGGCTTGTTTTATGTTTTATTTAGATGTTTGTAAATTCATAAAATATTTAGGGGTCTTCCAAGTATCTTTTTCCAATATAAGTGTAAATGTTTTTATTAGTACATGTTTGTGATACCTAGTCATTAAATTTAGCTTGGAGAATAGGTACCTGTGCAAATCACATCTGATCCTTTTTACTCCCCCTGCTACCCTGGCTCTCTCTTGATTTCCTCAGATCTGCTTCCTATCTCTACAAAGTCTCCTTCGCTGTTTCTTAGTATATCTTTATTTTGACCTGTAAATTATTTATATTGTGGGTCTGTCACAATAGAGAAACCTTGTGATGTTTAATGACTGACTTACTTCACGTTCCAGTTTATGGTCACTCTTTTATGAAGTACAATTCCAAGGTAAACAAGGTAGTAAAGCAAATGACTATAGTGTCAAAGAAGGGAAGTAGATCAATGTGCTTTGGGGTCCTCACACTGTCTAGTAAATTATAAGTTACTAAATTATAAATTGCTAGTTAATAATACTCTAATATGAAGCCAAGAATACATGCCACAATTTCAGAGATAGTCACTAAAATTTTTAAAATAATGCTTAAGAACAGCTGACAGTGGTAAAATAATAAAATATTATGAATTTTAAAATTGAAGAAAAGAGAGAAAAGGAGCATAAAAGACATAAGAGAGTTATAAAAGAAATGGTAAGTTGTATATGTGAATACAAATAGATCAGTAACAATTTTGGAAGTAGACTTAGAATGTCAAAAAAAGACCAAGACCATAAGCTGAATAAAACCAAAACTCATTACAAAATTGAACAAAAAAGAGAACACAACAGTATCAGGAATTAAAATGGGCACATCACTATGGATTCTGTATGACTCAATATAATGAGGACAAAATTAGATTACAATAAACCACTGGATTTGAAACTACGGATGAAATGGATGAATTCCTATAAAAATTGATTTATCAAAATTGATGCAAAAGAAATTGGACTGAGTACTATAACACCTATTAAATTTTTGAATTTGCTTTATTAATCTATAAACCTATATTGAAAAATTGAACATGTTATAATTATATAGCAAAAAGAAATAATTTCTACTTTATTGGTTCATATTGTTTAATCTCTGATTGAAAACATTCTCACAAAGAATTTTATAAATGGCTTAACTGATAAATTTTCCATTAAGTTAAGAAAGAGAAGATACCAGTTTTACATAAACTCATTCAGAAAATGAAAATACAAAAAGAACTATTCCTAATCCATTTTACTAGATCAGAACAATCTTAAGAGAAAATTGTAAAACTATTACTATGAATAAAAACTACAGGGTATCCATTTTCATGAAAATAGATGTAAAAATCCTAAATAAAATTTTAGTAAGCAAAAATTAGCAAAATTCAAAACCAATAATGTATCAAAACTAAAAAGAATCAATTCCAGTTTTTTAACATTCAGAAATTATTGTAATTCACTACATTAAAAATTACATGATCATCTTAAAAATACAGTGAAAGCATTAGATAAAATTCAGTGCTCATTTAAAAGAGATTTTGAACAAACTAAGTTTAGGAAATAGCCTCAACATGATAGAGCATCTCTCAATATCTGCAGTAAATAAATGCCTACTTCACACTTATTATTTGAAAAAGTAGATAGTTGTTCCAAAAGTTGATAATAAAACAAAAGTACCTTTAGATTCCACTTTTCTGTCCATACTGTACTGAAGGTATTTATCATCTAATAATTAAGAATTAAAGCTAAAGTCAGAAATGAAAAAGAATAATAAAAATATTATTATTATTAGGTGATACTGTTTACAATTAAAAAGTCCAAAAACTCTGGTCTTTTTTTTTCTTTTTCATTTTGGTGAAACTGAGAGCTGAACTTAGGGCTTTTACCTGCAGATATATACTCAACTCTTTTGATCTTGCTAAGTCAAATACTTGTCTAGACTGGTATTGAACTTTCAATCCTGCCTCAGCCTCCCAAAATGCACAGGAATTGTACGTATGTCCCACTGCACTTAGCTGGAAGATAAACTTTTAGACTAAATGCATCAAGCAGTGTTACTCAGTACATATTTAAAAATCGTAGTATTTCTGTACTCTATCAACAAACAATTGCAAATCAAATTATGAAAACTTGAGACATTCCAACTGCAAAATACACATAAAATATCTTTGAAAATACTTAAATACAGATATAAGATATATACAAAAAAACTATGAAGCGTTGTTTAAAATTGAAACTGAAACACTGAAACATTTTTTATCAGCAGTGTTTAACTGAAACACTGCTGATAAAAAATGAATGGAAAAATTATTTCATGAGCTGTAAAATTCAATAGAGATTCCTCTTAAGTGATTAATACTCTGAATGTACTTGATTTCTCAAATCAAAGCATGAGAAGCTTAGCAATGTAGAAATTTTTAGCTAATGCTAATATTTATATGTTCATATGAAAAGCCAAGGGTTGCCAAGGCAAATATCAAGAAGAGAAACAAAGTTAAAGATTTTATTCTACTGAATATAAAGATTTATACATCAAAATAATTAAAAGCATGTGATATTGGTACAAGAATACTCAAAGAGCCAATGATTTAGAAGAGACCAGCAATATACCTACAAATATCCGGATACTTGCTTCACGATGAAGACCACACTGCTGGTAAAAAATGACTGATCTTGTCAAAAAATGATGCTTGATCAACTGGATATGCAGATTTAAAAATACCTTAATCCATCCTTCATTCCCATCTCATCTACAAAAATCAATTCTATGTGTATTGTAGGTGATAATTTCTTAAATGAGATACTAAAATAGAACCCAAGAGGGAACAGATTGATGAATTGACCTATAATGATATTATAAATTTCTTTTTATCAAAAGGTAACACTGAACCAGTAAATAGACAATTCAAAGAATGAGTAAAAATATTTGTAATACAAGCAACTATGAGAGGGATTGAATCCAGACTATATAATGAACCAACACCTTATCAATCAGAAAAAGGCAAGTAATAGAAAATGGGTAGATTTGAGTAGGCATTTCATAAAGAAGATGCCATAAGACATTGCTATGTTCCCACTAGAGTGGCCACAATGACAAACATTTTGAATATCAAAGGTTAGTCAAAATATAGAAAAAGTGAGGAGTTGCATTCAAGTGACTTAAAGTCACTTGAATATAAGAACTGCAATACTAACGTAGCTAATGTAATAACTGAGTGATGCTGATGCAGCACAGAGATGATGGACAATGGGATGATTCCTGCCAAGGGCTGGATGTAGAGGGTCAGCGAGGGATTTCAACACAATACTTAGAAAAGTTCAATTTAAAAATAATTATTTCTGGAAATTTCTATTTCATATTGTATGGGTCAGTTTTCTCCTGCTAGGATAAAGTACCTGACACAGCCCAAAGGAAGAGAGGTCTGTGTTTGCCATATGGTTTCTGGAGCTTCAGGCCACAGATGACTGGCTCCAAAGATAGAAACACCATGGCGGAGTGGCACAAATTGGAAGGTTTCTCACATCAGGGTGGCAGAAAGCAGAGAGTGTTGGGAGAACTAGAGAGGAGGGGGCCAGGGATAACTTATATTCTACAAGGTCACATCCCCATGTCCTTCTTCCTCCAACTCAGTTCTATCTCCTAACCCACCCAGCTATGATTCCATTAATGGGCTTATTAGGTTGCTGGCCTTATAATCCAATCTACTCTTCAACAATCTTTACCCAGTCAAGTTGCCCAGGAAGATTAATTGCCACATATGTTTTTATCATAATCAATCACAGGTTAAGTGAAACCATAGATAAAGGGGAACCATTGTACTCATTCTATAACCTAAGAACTTCATTCATAGGCATGTGGCCAACAAAAATGGAAACATATACTTACTTAAAACAGAAAATGTCTTTTGAAGATGTTATTGTATGGGAATATTTTATTAATAGTTCAAAACTGGCACTAACCCAAATGGTTATCAATAATATAATAAACACTTGATACATTCAAATAACAGAATATAAGATTTGATTACAATGAACTTGAGGAAGGTAGTACAGTGTGCATGGGTCTCACAAAAATAATGACATGAGAAGAGCTCAACAAAAGAGAGAGTACATATTTTATGTTTTATTCATATAAAGTTCAAAACCACACAAGATTAATTCATGATTTTCAATGCCAGCACAGTGCTTATCTTAAAACAGAAGATTATGGTTAGTTAGTGAGAATGGTTATGAGGGAGTTTTATGCTAGTAATTACTTATTTACTGATCTTAGGAGTTGCTTTACAAATGTGTTGACTTTTCTGTATCTGTTTGATTGACTGACTGATTGATTGATTGATTGATTGATTGATTTGGTATAGGGTCTCACTATACAGCTCAGACTCCTACTGATCCTCCTGTTTTCAGTCTCCCCAGCACTGGGATTACAGGAATGCACCACCAGGCCAGGACTGGGTCACCGGCTCAGCGCACCTGGGGGTGGGGCCCTCATGGCATGAGGTACTGAGTCTGCATCTGTTTTAATTCATTAAAATGTTACTAAAAAACACAGAACATTTTATCTTCATTTTTATTCTCCACATTTTCAGAAGATTTCGTGTGTGTTAGTGTCTCTCACCATCACAGAGAATTATCTAGGTTTTAAAAAGTTCCTTTTCATCTTATCTTTAAGGTGGAGTTAATCTTCATATGATTCAGAAATCAACATAATTTCTAATATGTTATAGTTCCATAAGCTGAGAAGGTTTTAGTGACATTTTGCTTCTCAAATTAAAACTATCTCATTACTATAAAACTACTTTGGGCCATCTCAGGTCATAATTAAGTGGTGCCTACAGCATTGAAATTACTTAATGTAATATAGTAATAGTCTACTAAGAATTCAGGAAATCCCTTCAGGGAGTCAGGTTTTGTTTTGTTTCTGTTACTGCTTTTAAAATCCTTTTAATAGTGCTTTCTTCTAGCATAGCATTTTTCAGACCTCTTTCCAACTATTTATTTCTCTATCATGTATATATATATACACATATAGTTATTTATTTTGGAGGGAGGAGGTACCAGGCAGGCGCCTAAGCTGCTGATCGCTCTCTCCAGCCCTTAAGAGCTGCATATTTAAGGGTAAATATTCCTTCTTCCTCTTTCTCCCTTTTATTCACTGAATATTTATTCAGCACTTACTATGTATCAGGTACTGTGTTAGCCATTCAAGTATATTATTGAAAAAAATGGGTATGATATCTCTGTTCTTATAGCTAACACAATGGAGTGACTACTGCACATGATGTAAGTAATTATACAAGAAAAAATTACAACAAACAAAAGGCTTATGGTTCTTTAGAGTTTATCAATCCAAGGAAGTTTGATCTAGTTCTTGGATGTTTGTGACATGGGAAGAAGCAAGTTTTCTCAAAGAAGTAATGCTTGAGCTGAAGAGAAAATAAGCATTCCTATGAAGAATGAATGAAGAGAGGAGCACATAGACAAGGGAAATGCCATTGGCAAAGACTGGTGTAGACACACAGGTAATTATTGAAACACTAGAGAACTGTGTAAGATGCCAACTGTTTAGAACCTTAAGTGTTTGCTTTTCCTTCACTGAGGTTGACTTCTTCTTGTCATTTAGTCTTCAGTTCAAATGAAATCTATTCAAGACAGGCCTTTAACTCCCCCAATTGAAAACTTAAGTCACTGAATTTGAAATGAGTTCTTCCTTCTTCGTTAACAGAATCTGTTTTATTAACCCTCCTCTGAATTGTGATGTGTAGTGAGACAGGCTTTTCTCCAGGGATGGAATCCTAATTGGTTTATGTCTTCTATGTCTCATCACTATTGCTAGGATACCATGGATATGGGACATGATACTATCCAATAAAACAAGAAGGAAATATACTTCTGAGAAATGTCTTTCACTTATTCAAAAGGAAAAGAAAGATGTGCACAGACATAGTCTTCTCTTATGCCATCTTGTACCACTGTATGATCTTGAGAAAGAAAAGATGGAAAGCACCTGGGTTCTTTTTTTGAGGTACCAGGGATTGAATTCGGGACCTTGTGCTTGCCAGGCAGACACTTATGCCCCTGAGCTATCTTCCTGGCCCTAACACCTGAGTTCTTCTTTTCTTTTCTTTTCTTTTCTTTTCTTTTCTTTTCTTTTCTTGAAAGACCCTTGCACTCGCTAGGGAAGCATGTATTCTACTGAGCCATCTCTCTGGCCCCAACATCTGGGTTTTTGATGATATATGTCTGACCACTAAATTAACAAGTGAAATCACCCTCCTTCCAGACTCATTATTTAAATTGTTCTTAATTAAATTCAGCTGGTAGTTGTGGCAGAAAATGTTTATCTCTAGAAATTAGCACATTTTGAAACTTAATTCTGTACAAAGTCTTTATCTTCACTGTTTTTTGTGTATTTACTTCCATACTAAAATTTATACTCCAAAAATGCAAAATTCTGACTTATCTTGTTCACCATTGTATTCCTAGTGCTGAGAATAATGACAAGGACATAACAGTACAATAACTATTTGTTGAACATGTTAGAGAAAAGGAAAATTTCAGGAGCCTGACATATATAGGGACAACAAAACAATCTAACTCTAGTTTTAATTTTATAGATTCATGTTACTACATTGTATACAATGTTAACGTAAAATAGCAACACTAACATGAGGGTAGAGACTAGACTCAAAATGAAGTTTGTAAAATAGCTTTATGGAAGTTTTGAAACATGGCCCCAAATTCTTTGACAGACTTCCACTGAAAGATACAGTATATGTCCTTCAATCTTGATTCTATGATTACTAGAAGAACAGAATGACAATGACAAGAATGACAATGTGCCGGTTGCTAAGACTTCTTGAGAAACCTACTGTTTTTCTGTTTCTACTTCTTATTATTTGTAATACTTTCTTTTAGCATTCAGGTATCATGAAGACACATAGCCCAAAGAGAAAGCTATGTGGAGAGGAATTGAAACTCTTACCCTTTATCCCCAGCAGGCATTGCGCTTGCACAAAGTTACCAGCCATGTGAGTTAGACCTATAGGAAGTGGACCCACAAGCTTCCAGGTCAAACTGGCCAGGTGACTGATGCCAGAAGGAGTAAAGATAGGGCTTGCATGCCAATCTCTGCATAAAAATCAACAACTTATAAACTAAATAATTATCAATTGAAACCATTAGGTCTGGGAAAGTGGTTTGTTATACAGCAAAAGAAAACTATAACAGCCTTCAACAGAAAAGACCAGGAAGATGGTTAGAGAAGTACAGTTTAAATTAGGTTACAAAGAGGAACAGCAATGGTATTTATTAAAAATGCTAGTTAAAGGATGAAAGACACAAACGTTAGAGGGATTATATAGTTTGTCATGTGGTAAAAGTTAAAAGCTAAAATCTGCTTTAAGATTGTTTGGCATTGATGCTGCTAAGGACTATATCAGCCCACTACATCACCAGAGGGCAAGGAATTTACAAAAATCATGTTTGACATCTCCTAAGTCTAATCCTTTAGGAAAAGTGCTCATGTATACATAAATCAGCCTTATTAACAAAACTCCTAACATTATGAGGATTTTAGTTTGATTGTTGAATAGGTTCAAAAATATAATTAAATTACATATGGGGAAATTACATATGATTAAAATACTGTATTCTTTAACATCCTTTGGTCAAAAGTAAAGGCACACATTCTGGCCCCAGAGAGCATTATTCTCTCCTCAAAATCAATGAGTAAGCAGGGCTATGCATTTTCAATAGTGGACATGAAATTCAATTTGACTCACAATGGTTCATGCAGATTTTTCCCAAGTTATTTTTATATTAAAGCATGTCTAAAAAGTCCCAACCCATGTTTAGTTTCCCAGACTTAGTAAGTAATCGCTACAATAATGAGTTCTTGTGTCTTAATTTGGTCTGCTCCAGATGTCAGCATCTAGATGTTTGTTTTTCATTCTCTACCCCTCCACATTTCCTTATAGGATAGAACATTTGTAAATATTCTGACTTTTTTATTGGAGGAAAAGTAGAGCAAGAGAACAAGAAATAGGGTGGGTAAGAAGTTTAGGGTTTCACCTACTACACCACTTTGACTGACTTACAAGCTGGAATGAAGTTGAGGGAGAACCAGTTTTGAAAGTGTGACAGCCTTTGTATTTGTTAAGTAGTGTAACCCTGAGGAACATACATTCAGGCTTGCTGGTATGCTTTCCCCAAGGCAAGATACAATATTGGTGGTCCTCTTTAGGAAATTAAGATTCTCTTGCAGAGTTGGTATGCTGTACTAAAATCAACTTAGTGCCTCCCTACATATTTATTGAATCAGGCAGATGAGCCCATCCTATAACTAGCAGAAGTGAATAATCATTGGGAAGAATTTGGTTTATATATATCCAGGCTAACCCACTAATGTTCTGATACAGAGTATAGTAAGAAGAACCTGCATTTTAGACCCAGCTGGTGAACAGCTGGATGAGAGATACGGGATTGTGCTCCAACAGATATGTATTTGCTCAAGGGCAGTGGTTATCAAAATTTAGTATGCATGTAAATTAATCAGAGTACTAGCTAAAAATGCAGATTTCATGGTCATAGTCCTAAGAGTTCTGAGCCAGAAAATCTGAAATATGCCTTGAAATCTACTTATTTATTTATTTATTTATTCTGCATTTAGGACAGGATCTACGGGTCTCGTTACGTAGATTGGACTCGTAGTGATTCTCCTGTTTTCAGCCTCCCAAGCACTGGGATTACAGGAACCTTTCACCATGTAGAATCTCAATCACCATCTAAGTGTGCCCTGGGGGTGGGTCCAGCACAGCATGCCAGGGGACTGAACCCCGACTGCTGCGTTCTGCCCAAGCAGGCACTTTAGTCCGCTGAGCTACCAGGCTGGCTAGAAATCTGCTTTTTTAATAAGCAGCTTCAGGTGATTCTTATGCAGGTAGTAGAGAACTACATTTTGAGAAGTATTATTCCTTAAAGCAGTTCAATAGCACCATTCAAGATATTTCGAAAGTGAAAAAGATAGAGTGTTTTAAACCAATCTTTCTACTTAGATTTTGACAGCTGAGTCCAGTCCACAGTTGGTAAAGAGGCTGGATAATGCCCACAGATAGGTTTGATCCTTTGGGTTAGAATTCCTAAAAATGGTTTGGGGACTTCTGTTTCTCCCCCATCAGTAAGGGGGTTGGAAGACAGCCATGACAGCTAGAAATCCAGCTGGCATAAAAATTGGAAGACAATCCTTAGTGAGGTCTGGGTTCAATATTTAACTGCTAAAGAGCTTGGCTGTCTGCCTTGCGGTGTGCAGTCAATCTCCAATTCATACAATGCTTTGATAACATGAGTAGCATGGGTTAAATCCAGGAACTGTAAGGAACTTAGATAAAATTCCTAAAACCTAAAGTTTGGTCCCCAAATGGAATGGAGCTTGGACAGTATTTGGGAATGAACTAGTCCTCAAATGGTAAAAGTTCTGGATGTCAGAAATGAGGTCTGGGTTCAATCTCTTGTCATTAAAAAGCTTGGAAGACCAGCCTGTAGTCTGGTTTCAATCGTCAGATGGTAAAGAGTTCAAATGACAACAATGGTTTCTAGGTTCAAGTGAAAGCTGACAAACAGCTTGAAATAAACTGCAAGATCTGGGTTCAATCTTGAAATGCTAAGGGTTTAGATAATTGTCATGAGGAATGAGATCAGCTTGGAGAATTCTAAAAGTCTAGGTGAGGTAGCTAAGAATATGCACCAGATGATTAGAGACAACTTGTAGTCATGATCCACGTGGGAAAGGATTTAGATGGTGACTTTCACATTAGGAGACAGGATGATCAGGTACATTGATCTAGTGCTACATATTTAGCAATGTAGAAAGCTTGAATTGCAACCACAGGGTAAGAAAATGTATACAAGTACTAGATCGTGAGTTAATTTTGCAAGAATACTATGTGACTTCTCCATATCTACAACTATGGAGAGAAATACAGGCACCAGGCCCGGGAATGCGATTTCTGAAATAATGGAGCTCATTTGCCAGGATTTTTCCTGACAGAAGGACTGTTTTATATAGCTAAGAGAGCAGATGTCTGAAAAGCTCTGAAATCTACGATGTGTGTTCCTAAGTGAGATGACAGCTGGCACCACTGGATAAAATCTTGTTCTTACTTTTACAGTTTTACTAATACTCTTCTTTCTGATATCCTGATTTATCAACAAACAGCAGTTTCTGGAAACATTTAAAAGTGTTCTCAAATAGTGGAGAAGCAAATGGCTCTTCAAGCATCCAACAGACCACGAGGCTCTTAAAGAAGTAAAAATGGAACTGGTTTCCTTGTGGAACAAGGAAAAATTAAGCCACAAGTTTCTTCTTCAGTATCTTTATTCTTTGACCTGACAAACCAAGGTGAATAATGAAAAAAAGATGGTCTCATTAAGGGACTGGTTTAAAGAACAGATACTGCTGCCTAAGCC